AAATATTAAAAGTTAAAATATTTTCTATTTATGTATCTGATATTCATGTGTATGAATTTAATATCACGTAATAACTTTTTTTTTATGAGAAATATGTTTTGAAGGCTAGAATATCTTGAATTTATGTGTCTCTATGATGCAATGTAATTATAGGCGAGACTGCTTTCCTGTTTGGCGAGACGACGATCCCGACCTTGTCAGGCGAGAAGACGGTCCCGATCTGACAGGTGCAAATTCTTATGAAAGGGGGGGAGAGTTTTTCACTCTTTTCACATAATTCTACCACTTTCCCTTATGCACTTCTTTCGAATTACTCCCCTAGGACCCCTCTGACGCATTTCCAGAGTTTCTTAGTGTTCTTAGAAAGCGTTTTGTAGTTTTGCGAGGAAGAACGATCAATATTGTAGAGTGTGAGGATTGTCAAAAAGCACCATCTTTCAAAGAACTTACTATAAAAGTTTGTTTCGAAGGTTCCTATATACTTTCTTCTCTACTTTACTGCTTTTTATATAGTATTTTTGTGCATTAATCATTTAGGGTCATGTAGTCAACATTTTAATTTTCGCAATAAATAAATAAGGGTAAAAGAGCAATCTATAGTTATTTCTTTATATAAACAGTCCATCATAGGGAACCCGAAAGGGGCGTCGTAGGGAAGCTAATACCTTCCCTACACGTAACTAATTCTCTTACCTGACTCTGGTTGTAATGGCCAAAGTTAGTTTTTCTAAACCAATGCCTTCTTTTTTCTTCTTTTTCCAATGTTTCTGGTAAAAACATTGGTGGCGACTCCTTGAACCTTTTGAAAACTTCGTCTTTAGGTCCAACCCGATTATCGGACAACCTAAAGGCGTTGTACCACACTTTAAAAAAAACGCGAGTCGAACGAAACCATCGTGTCGCTCTGACCGCCTCATCTGACGGCGGTGACTAGAATTAATACAAAGCTCGCTTCGGAGATTCCTTTCCTTATTCTCTCTCTTTTACTGCTTTCCTTTATCGCTTTCCTTGTATGCATTAGATATTAGGGTCATATAGACATTTAAATTCTACAAGTAGATAAATAAATAGGGTAAAAGCATAGTTTTTTAGTCTTTGTGTTATAAACTAGTCCATCATAGAGAACTCGATAGGGGCGTTGTGGGGTGTTAACACCTTCCCCACACGTAACTAACTCTCTTATTCAACCCTGGTTGTAATGACCAAAGTTAGTTTTCTAAATCCTTATTTTTATGCAGAAAATCCTTCCTATCCTAATATGGGGCCTAATAGTCTCTCCTAATGGCTTTTTAGGCTTCGTCCATCTTCGAATAGGAAGTCTTTTGCTATTATTTTGAGGTCGGGCAAGATTTGGGGTCTTCAATCAGTTATTCACACTAATCATGAGTCACTAAAGTATCTCCAAGGGCAAGGAAAATTAAATAAAAGACATGCTAAATGGGTGGAATATTTAGAACAATTTCCTTATGTCATTAAATACAAATAGGGGAAGAGTAATGTTGTTGCTAATGCTTTGTCTCAGAGACATATAATACTCATTTCATCGGGTTCTCACATCTAAGGGTTTGATAACATAAAGGAGTTGTATGAACATGACATTCATTTTTCATCCATTTATGTGAAATGTTTCAAGAAGCCTTCTGATGGATTCTATGTTTTTGAAAGATACCTATACAAAATTGGAAAATTATGTATTCCTCAAGGATCCATCTGAAAGCTTCTTGTCAAAGAAAGTCATGTGGGAGGTCTCATGGGCCATTTTGGAGTTGATAAAACTCTAAGTTTTCTGAAGAATAAATTTTATTGGTCTCACATGAGAGTGGATGTCCAAAGGTTTTGCTCTAGATGCATAGCTTGTTTACAAGCTAAATCTAAAGTAATGCATCATGGATTATACACACCCCTCCCAATAACTAGCACCCCTTGGGTTGATATTAGTATGGATTTGGTGCTTGGACTTCCAAGAACGCAAAGGGAGTATGATTCTATCTTTGTGGTAGTGGACCATTTTAGCAAGATGACTCACTTTATTCCCTGCCACAAACTAGATGATGCTAGCCATATCTCAAGACTATTTTTTAAAGAAGTTGTAAGATTACATAAATACCTAAGACAATAGTGTTCGACAGGGATGTTAAGTTCCTAAGTCATTTTCAGAAAACTCTTTGGGAAAGATTAGGAATTAAACTTCTATTTTCAACCACATGTCACCCCCAAATTGACAGGCAAACGGAGGTTGTAAATAGGTCCTTATCCACATTGTTAAGGGTTATTTTGAAAGACAATAAGAAGTTTTGGGATAAACATCTTCCTCATATAGAGTTTACCTATAATCGAGTAGTCCACAAAACTACTAATCTTTCTCCTTTTGAGGTTGTCTACGACTTTAACCTTATTACCCCTTTTGATTTACTACCGGTTCCGGATACTCACTACTATTTTCATAAAGAAGGAGTATCCTGAGCAGAGTTTGTTAAAAGGTACCATGAGAAGGTTAAAGAACATATTGAAAAACAAACTAATAATAATAAAGCAATAAATTTAAAAATTAGATTAAAAATAAAGTATTATAAAATAAATTTGTAATAATTTGATTAAAATTGTAATTTTTTAATTAATTAAGTTAATGAGGAATTAAAATGTGATAATTTGATGTGTTTAATTTTTTTAATATAAATTTTTAAAATTTAATTTAATTTCAATTGAAATTTTCAATTAAAAAATAAATTAAAGAATATTTGTTATTAAAATTTTCTTAAACAATGTATTGAATAGTTAATATCACTATAATCTTAATTTATTACAATTTAAATTTTTAATAAATTTGATTTATTTTTAATAATATTTTTATTTTAGTAATTTAAAATTAAAGTTAATCTTCATTTTGTTAATATTGAGACCAAAGCTTATTTTTAAAGTATATTTTAAAAATTAAATTATTTTTAAAAAATAAATTACTTTTAAAAAATAAATTGTAAAAAATATACTAAAACAATTAAAGTATATTTATAAAAAAATAAATTTAAATATAATAAAAAAATAATATTCATTAGCGACCGATTTCAATTCGGTCGCTATTTTCTCATTAGCGATCGATTTTAATTTGGTCACTATTTCAATTTGTAATTCGATCGCTAAATCAGTCGCTAAATGATTTTTTTATTTTAATATGGAATAGCCACTGATTTAGCGACCAAAATTTTGCGACGCAAACTATTGGTCGCTATTTCGGTCGCTAAATAAAAAAGTGAAACCAAATCATATTTTGGTGGCTAAATCGGTCGCTAAATTGCGACCGAATTAACTCAATCGCTAAATCGGTCGCTAATTGCGACCGAATTAAAGTGGTCGCTAAATTGGTTGCTAATTGCGACCGAATTAAATCGGTCGCTAATTGCGACCAAAATTAAATCGGTCGCTAATTACGACCGAAAAAATTCGGTCCCTAATTTCGGTGGCTAAATGTGTTTTTTCTTGTATAGTCTCATCCGAATTTCAAAAGAATGTGTTCATTCAACTCTTTTTTTAGTCTTATCTAACCGTAACTTTAGTAGACATTTTTATTTATTCAAAATATCAAATCACTATTTTTACTTAATATTCATTTTAAAATAAAGATGTAACATTCTATTTTAAAAATCTAAAAAAAAATGTGTCCCCAATTAATATATTTATGTTTTAATTACAAAAAGACTATTTTGAAAGTTAAATATCATATTGTGAAGTTTATTGTCTATGTAGCTATAATTCAAGAACTTCGTATTGGAACTTCAGAAGCCAGAAGATTTGTTTCCAAATTAATTTATATAATTGATTTTCTTTCCTTATATGATCATAATCAGAATATGATTCCCTATTTGCAATAATCAAAATGTTCTTTGGCCTGAAATTTTGACCAATGGGAAAGAATATAGGGAAACTTCGTGCTTTGTGATGAATAGGCATGACCTCATGGATTTACATACCAGCACTGACGTGTTAAATTTAACCATATGATACGTTAAATTTTATTTTTAATATTATTACCAATATGCTATGCATTTAACAAAAGAAAAAGCATATATATAAAGACTAATATGCCATTTCCCTTATCTTTTGACAAAGATATACTTTCCAAATTCATGAACACAACCAAATACTAACACAATGAGATAACTCCAGGTCCCATCCCATCAAAGAATCATATGCGAAATTTCACAGGTTGCACAGTAAAAAAAAAATTAGAGTGATGGGTTGTTGATTTTAACTTATTAGTCAGTTTTGATTCCTTCTGTCTAACCCATTAATTCAATAGGTGAACTGGTTGCTGATTTTAACTTACCAGTCCGTTTTAATTTTAATCCACTAACTTAATGGGTCAAAAGCAGATAGGGTGAACTCACCCCTGATCTGTCTTAAAAAAATACTTATATATTAAAATAAAATAAAAAATTATAATTAAAAGTATTATATTTTTTCTTGTGTCTGTCTTATGTTATTGAAAAGTATAAATATTATAATTTAACTTAGAAAAGTTATTCTATTAAGTTTAAATTATTAATTATAATTAGTTATTTTAATACATAAATAATAATTTTTTCAATTTATCTAATAAAAATACTAATTAATATATAAAGATTTAAAAATTATTTATATATTTAAATATATGTTTTTAAAAAATGCATATAAAAAAATTATTCACAAATTTACTCATAATCTATTTTTTGTCCCACTAATAGTCCGTCTACGAACCAGTCCATCCATCTCGCTTTTGGCATATCAGAGATGACACGGACCAAAATAACACCGAATCAATGTCTTTAAACCTCCTTAAAATGTCTTTGTAAGTAGTTTTATATTCTTATATTCTTTACAGTTTGTGAGAGTTAGAAAAAAAAAAAAAAAAAAGAGAAAGGAAAGATTCTCTTGACGCAAATCCTCTATATTACTCCCCCTTCGTAGCATTTGGTGTGACCATAACCATTCATTCCCTCGCACTCTTTTGAGAGAGATCAAAAAGAATGTCATATCCTTTTATTTATGAAGCCAAAATGCCAGTGAGTATACCAGAGAAAGCAATCATCTCGTCATGTTTCCAAGGAAAGACAAATGGCTCAAAGAATAAAATAATGAAAGCAATGGAAAATGCAGACAGAAACGAAGATGGTTGTTTCAGCAAGGATGAACTCCAGCAAGCTCTCAAAGAGTTAGGTGCTATCTGTCCTCGTTGGAGAGCCTTCTGGGCATTCAGAAATGCTGATACCAACCACGACGGTCAAATTAGCGGCGAGGAAATCAAGTCTCTCCTTCAGTATCTTCGTTCCTGTGGGTTTGGGAAATAGTGATCCATCTTTATTTCATCAAATAATCAATCTCCTCTACGTACTTAAATCCATGATGTGTGCTGTGAAGTAATCACATAGTTTGTGTTTCTGCTATTATATAACTTGCATCTCTACCGAGGAGAATTATAAATTATAATATAAGACGATTGTATAACTCCTATTGTCTTATAAGTATCTAATTAACCAGGTTTTCTTCCTCGACTCTGTATGTATGAAAAAATCCTTCTGTAACTCCTTTACAGAAGTTCAGTTCCTTAAATGGATCATAAAATAGTTATATAGGTGCACAAATAACAGCATGTTGTGATATGGCGTAACTAAAAATTTGAAATTATAATGAACCATATTAAATAATATATATATATATATATATATATATATATATATATATATATATATATAATCAAATCAGTTTCAATGCTATTCATTTTTACATTTAATTTATATTTAAGATTAATCAATAACATTTCGAATATTACTCGTTAAATTTAAAATTTTTAAGTTAAATTTTATTTCATCAATTATCTCATTTTTATTAAAAATAAGTCATTTTTTATAAATTTAAAATAGAACATTATAAAATATTAAAATAATTAATTCATTGATAAAAAAATAATATAGCATATTGATATGTTATAATAGTGAAAAAAAACATAAAATAATTTTTTTTAGCATCTCAAAATAAATATTACATAATACTTTCTTTATTGTTTGACTTTTATTTTATTTTTTAATTTCTAATACTCCATGTCTCCATCTTGAATTGAAGAGAAAAAACTAAAAAAGAAAAAATTATAATTTTTACACTCCGTATAAAAGAAAATATGAGAAATTAAAGAGAAAAACTTATAATTTTTTTACTATAAGATAAAATTATTGGGTTTAACCATAAAAAGTAAACATGTAATAGAATATGATATCACATTCAACTCAAAACTTTAAGACATTAGATTTGTGAGTCTCTTTTACTTAGATAACAAATATTAAGAATGTAAGTCCTTTATTTGAAAAATTAACACTACAAGAAATATTGAAATTACCGACGATCAAAATTCATCGGTAAATATTACTGATGATTTAAATAATTTGTCGATAATATTTTTTTATTTTTTATTATTTATTTCCCTCCATTATATTTTTATAGCTTTGAATTATTATCAGATTAAAAGAATTGGCATTAGCAAAATTCAAACCCAATACTTTAGAGTTAGAAGTCGATACTTTAACCACTAAACTACTAGAATTTTTTGATAATAATTTACAAATAAATTATATTTATATATTTATATATTTATATATAATTAAATATTTATTTTTTAAAATTATTTAATTTAATAAATTATTATAAATTAATCTAATTATGATTAAATTAAATTATTAAATAAAAAAATATTTAATTTTTAATTAGGTGAATAATTAATTTATTAGAATATATTAAGTAATTATTATATAATTTTACCGACGGATATATCCGTCGGTAATTAATTGTTAATTTACCGATATATTTACTAATGAAAATATCCATCGGTAAATAATTGATAATTTATCGGTGAATTTATCGATGGATATATTTGTCGGTAATTAATTGTTAATTTACCGACGGATTTACTGACGGATATATCCGTCGGTAATTAATTGTTAATTTACCGACGAATATATCTGTCGGTAACTAATTATTATTTTACCGATCGATATATCCGTCGGTAAGACCAAATTCTATATCTGTTGGTAATAACTCATTTTCCGACGACTATAAATCCATGGATAAAAATCATCGAAAATATGTGATTTTCTTGTAGTGTAATTTGTTAAGTGTCGGTCAATTAATATATGAAAGGATTATATTATTACTAATAAACAATGTGCTTGTAATTATATGATCATGTTAGAGGTATTATTGTTCTTGTGCAAATGAGTTCCAATAGTTTGTTTTCATTGAAGATTGAAATGGTTAACTCTTATTTGGTATATGAAATAGTAATAATAATAAAAAAAAACTCATCATAATTATGACATTTTGGTTATATTTGGTCATTTGAATTTTAGAGAATTAAAACTTCTCAATTACAAGAACATAGTTATAGGACTTCCTCAAATTCAAGATCCTTCCCAAGTTTGTGAGAATTATGTTGTTAGCAAACAATATTATTCTCAATTTCCTATTAACAAGTCATGAAAAACAAATAATGTGTTAAAACTAGTATACTCATATTTTTGGTCCAATAAATCCATCTTCAAATTGAGGTAAAAGTTATTTTATTATCTTCACTGATAACTTTTCAAGGAAAACTCAAATCAATTTTTACGTGTCAATTCTGAACCATTATCTATATTCAAGATTTTCAAAATTTGAGTTGAAAATGATGCTGAAAAAAACATTAAAACCTACCACACTGGTCATGGTGGTAATATTGTTCAAAATATGATGACAATTTTTGTGCAGAGTATGATATACAAAGAGAACTCATAACAACCTATACACAATAACAAAATAATGTATTCGAAAGGAAGAACATAACAATTTTGAATATGGTAAGAAGCTTATTAACTCAAGATAAAGTTCCAAAAAAAATTGGTCTAAAGCAGTGAATTAGAGTGTTCATATTTTAAATAAAAATTCAACTTTTATTATGTAGAATATGACACTCGAATAAGCATGGAATGTAAGAAAATAAGATGGGGAGCACTTCAAAAATTTTGAATGCATTGCTTTTGTTTATATTCCATATTAGAAAAGAAAGAAACTTGATAACAAATCTTAAAAGTGTGTTTCTTAGAGTAAGTGAAACATTTAAAGCATATAAATTATTTATTTCTTACATAAAAATATCGCCACTTTGTCTTTTTATGAAAAAAAAAACTTGGGATTGAAATACATAACAACCTATCCATGTACTGCTCGATAAAAATGATGAGAAAAAACACATTTTAATCCCTTCTACATTTGAAAGAACTACTCAAACAATCACTAGAACTTTTTCCACAAATCATGTCAATGAAGAAGAATTACTTACTCGCATAAGAAAAAAAGTTTGCTTGGATAGATTATTTTTGTGTAACTGGAAATCTTGATTCAATTACTCATTTTACTTTATCTGCACATTGTGATCCTACAACATATGAGAATCCTATCAAGGAAGAGAAGTGGCGAAAGATGATGAATCACAAAATTAATGTCATTGAAATAAATGATACATGAGAATTATGTGATCTTTCAAAAGAGTGCAACATCATTGGTATAAAATGGGTGTTTAAAATAAAGTTGGTAGAAATAATAATTTTTGAAATATTAGCTTAATTTTACGTATTAATAATGGTGTAAAACTTTTTTACATTATGCATATTTTTGTTATTCCTTGATAGATACCTTAAGGTAATGATAGTATAGTAATATATCAAAAATTATTTACATGAAATTATTTTAGATATAGTCTATTTTGGTTTCCCTATGTTTATCAAATAATCAAATAATATGGACAACACTTGTTGAAGAGCTTCCTTTGCTTCCTTTGCTCTAGCCCTTGTCATAGGTCCTCCAAGTCCTTCAAGTGGATCCTAGCCCTTGCTCATGGTCATGTTCCCATCATTCTCTCCCTCTAAAGAAGGATTTGTCATCAAATCGGATTCGTCATCTACATAAAAAAGAGTTAAGTCAGACACATTGAATGTGGAACTAACATTATACTCACTGGGCAACTCAATTTTATAAGCATTGTCATTGATTCTTTCAAGCACTTGGAATGGACCATTCCCCCTTGGTTGAAGTTTTGATTTTCTTTGTCCTCGAAACCTTTCCTTTCTCATGTGCACCCAAACCCAATCTCCCGGTTGGAAGACAACTTTCTTTCTCCCTTTGTTGGCTTGTTTAGCATAGCTTTCATTTCTTTTTCTCAATTTGATTTTTGACTCTTTCATGAAGCTTCTTTACATAGTCTGTCTTAGCTTGACCTTCTTTATGCTTAAAAAATGAAACATTATGCATAGGCAAAAAGATCAGGAGGAGTTAGTGGGTTAAAACCATAAGCAACCTCAAAAAGAGAACAATTAGTAGTGGTATGAACAACTATATTGTAAGCAAACTCAACATGGGGTAAACAAACTTCCCAATTCTTTAAGATTTTTCTCAAAACTATCCTAAGAAATGTTCTAAATGTCCTATTAACAACTTTCGTTTGTCCATCGGTTTGCGGGTGACAAGTGGTTGAAAATAACAATTTAGTTCCCAACTTGCCCCACAAGGTCCTCCAAAAATGGCTTAGGAACTTAGAGTCCCTATCACTAACAATGCTCCTTGGCAAACCATGGAGTCTCACAATTTCCTTGAAAAATAAATCAGCCACATGAGAAGCATCATTCAATCTTTTACATGGAATAAAATGAGCCATTTTAGAAAATCTATCAACAACTACAAAAATTGAATCTTTGTCATTACTTGTTTTTGGCAGCCCCAAAACAAAATCCATAGATAAATCAATCCAAGGATACTCCAGAATTGACAATGGAGTATACAATCCATGAGGCGTAACTTTTAACTTTGCACTTTTACAAACAATGCAATGTTCACAAAATTTTTGCACATCCTTTTTCAAATGGGGCCAATAAAAATGTTTTTGTAATGTTTCTAGAGTCTTTTGGACCCCAAAATGCCCCATTAAACCTCCTTCATGTGCTTCACTAACAAGCAAGTTTCTTGTAGAACATTTAGACACACACAATTTGTTTTCTTTGAAAAGAAAGCCTTCATGTCTAAAGAAACCATTTTCTGAAATTTTTTCACAATTTTTATAAATTTCACCAAAAGTTTCATCAATTTCATACATGTTTTTCAAACATTCAAGACCAATCAATTTTGTTTCAAGTATAGAAAACAAAGCATGACGCCAAGAAAGAGCATCGGCTACAATGTTACCTTGTCCCCTTTTATGTTTGATAACATAAGGGAATTGCTCTAGAAATTCCACCCACTTGGCATGCCTTTTATTCAGCTTATCTTGTCC